TGTGTGTGTGTGTACCTGTGTGATGTTCGCGTACTGCTGCTCCCAGTCCTTCAGCGCCTCTTGCAGGTGTTGTTCCCACAGAGTCTGAATGGCTCTGATCTGTAGCTCATTGTGGGTCAGCAGCTGACGAAGCTCCTCTGGACACACACACACACACGGACATGTTGACCTCTCTAACCCTGCTGCCTGCTGAATTCCCTTCTCTACTAGTCTTACTGGTCTCGTCGTTGGCTCTGCGTCCCTCCTGGCCCAGCCGGCTCAGTCGTTGCAGCAGCCTGGCATTCTCTGCCTTCAGCTCTTTGACCAGACGCTCAGTGGGGCTCTCGTTCACCACTGCTCGGTTCTGAATACGCTTTGCCCTAAAGAGGTAGAGGAGGTAGGGACACAGCGAGAGAGGTGTGTGGATGGGGTACAGTTGGAGCAGAGAAAATGCCAAGGAGGCCAAGAAAGAAGAAAAAACAGGGGAAGGAGAAGTCTTTTAGAAGTTTAAGTGTGTGTTTTTTATTATGGAGGCAACCTGCTGTTTTTTCATCATGGGTTGCACAACATAAGTGGTTTGTTGTACCTCTCAGCATAACGCAGGGTGGAGAGAGACTCCTCATAGCAGATATCAGCAGGACTCAGCGTGGCAATCTTGAAATTTGAATTAGAAATAACTTAATCGATCTGTGTATTTACAGTGCATAAACATTATGTAATATCATATATCATATATACTATCTTCTGTTACCATAACAGTGCGACTGTTGCCTCCCAGTGCAGACTGCAGCAGCTTGGTGAGAACTGAGTCTCTGTAGGGAATATGGACAACCTTCTTCCCAACTGCCACATCAGCAAGGGAGCTGGAGGAAAGGAAAATAATGAGAAAAATACTGATAAACCATCTGAATATAAAACTAGATGAAGCTAACCCTCAGGCACCAACCTGATAACATTGCCCAAAGTGGTGAGGCTCAAGTTGATGGCTGTGCCCTCTTTCAGTCTGTCCGCCTCCGACCCTGACGACCGCTGACGCTCACTGCCAGCCAGGTCTACCAAGTTAATGTTGGACTGCTTTGTGATACTCTCTTTGGAAAAGATCTGACAGGGAGTCATGTCAATAACAAATGTTTGAAGAAACCTGAAGATAGTACTACATATTGGAGAACTTCTGTAGCAGGACTGAAACTGGAACATAGCAAGTGGAGCCATTTACCTGTTTGAGCTGGAGGATGATGAGCATGTGTGAACGACTGCTATTGGCGTTCATGTGAGTGGCAGCAGTGGTTCGGGTCCTGGTCCCCTGATCCATCAACTGCTCCACCTTCATTTTAAAACTCACACTATAATATGTTTCCAAACACGACACATATAAAAACACTGACACAGCATACATACGAATATTTGACATGCCCCTAAACATCCCCTGTAGCTCTTAGCCTTAGTTTGGTAACTTTAAAGCAGCAACCAGGAACATTCTTCAGGATCTTTTTGTTGATTCTGGCGCCCCCTGTGAACAAAAGCGGTACAGTTTCCTCTGCTTCGTCTTATTGATTTCAAGGGGAATCCGACTGAACACAACCAGGCATTAAGAATAACTTCTCGCTGATGGTCTCGTGCTTATGGAGGTCATGTACAGGCATCAGTATTCAACTTTTTCATAACCAGTTAAAAACTCCTTGTAGTAGGTTTAAGTGAAGTAATATACACTTGTTGTTACACTATGTAGAGGTTTTTCTCTCCATATATATTTACTCTGCATCCATCTCTTTACCTGTGGTGCACTCTCACACGGGACTGTTCGGAGACCCTCCACATAGAAACCTCTTTGCTGCTCCTCTCTGACTCTGAGTCCCCCCGGAGTACGAGACCCCCGAGACAGCAGGTCAACCACCTGGACAGAGAGGAAAGAGACAAAAAGAAGATGATGATGACACAAAAAACAAAGAAAAAGAAAAAAGACAACAGCAGAAACAACAGTAGCTGTTTTTCCCTTCTGTTACCTGCTCATTATAGATTTCCAACATACTGAAAAACACCTGTGTAGACATCAAGAACAAAGATATTTAGTTTTCACACCCATATGTGACACTGTGTGCTGGTAAGGACCTGAAAAAGCCACACACACACACACTCTCTCTCTTTACCTGACACTGTCTGGTCTCCTGGTTTTCTCTGATGGCCTGAAACAGCCGCTCACAGAGTTTAGGAACCAGGCCTTTGTTAGGCCCATAGCCCACCATTGAGTAGCTCTTCCCTGAGCCGGTCTGGCCATAGGCCAACAGTGTGGCATTGTAACCCTGCAGACAGCACACACTCAACCTCAAAATTGTTTTAGCCAACTAGCGCAGAACAAATTCAGCTTGGCAGCAAATAAACAACACTGAGCTTTGTGATACAATGTGAATGAAACTGCAGTTAAGCATATGATGATTGCTACCTGCAGTGCATTCTCAAGAATTCCCTCTCCCAGGTCCTGGAACACACTGTCCTGGGGATAGATGGTATGTTGTGAGCTTTGTAACCCATATTTGTCTTGATCAAACTCTGCTTACCTATTTTTCTGGGTATTTTCTCCCTGGACAGTGGACAGTCTACATTTATATTGTCTAGGTTTTTTTTTTTTACAATCTACAATACATTGTGCTTGTTGGTTTTATGAATTGAGAGAAATGACTCAGAGCTGACCTGGTCAGCGTATCGTCCCCCGGGCTCTTCAGGCACAAAGAGGCCACTGCGGTCTTGTGCAAAGCCACTGTGGGACCAGTAGGCGTAGTCAAAACAAAACGAACGGCGGTTCTGGGATTCACGCGGGTCCTGGATAGTGATGGAGCTTGACACCATGGAGACAATACACCGGCTGCCTGCATCCCTCTCTCTCTGGATGGAGGAAGGAGATACATTGAGGATGAGGAGAGGAGAAAAGAGGGCTGTTGGAGCACTGAAGCTTCCATAACCACATTTAATTTGGATATCAAGGAAAATGGGGGGAAGTGAAAGTAAAGGTTCCTTTATTCCTCTTCTGAAGCAAACTATCTATATGAGAGTCTGATGATTTAGTGTTTTAGATATTAACTTTAAGTTTAATATCTGGTGAGTTTTTATGTGACTTTATTTCTTATGGAACAGTTGCTGAAAGTGTATGGTCTTTGTGGTATTCATAGAAAATCAGTGGGGGAAGACTACTTCCTATTGTTTACATAAGTAAAAGTAGCAATATCATACTGTAGAAGTTTAACAAGGAAACTTTTGTATTAAGACATATACAAATAGCTTGGACCGATAATGTGTGTCTGATTTGTTTTTGTTTTTTTCATAAAAAAGAAATATTTCCACATTAAAATCTAAAAAGGCATCCACTACGTCTGCCTCATTAAAGATTACAGAATATATGAATATGCAAATGTTGTTAATTTCTAAAATTTTCCTGCTGGACACAAGATGTCTCCTACTTCACTGTAAAGTCCATTCTCAGTGTTTGTGCACTGGAGGCTTCACGTTTCTACATCACACTATAAGTTGCATACTGGACCAGGAGTGACCAGGACTATTTGTGGCTTGTAGGCCCCGTAAAATCTGATTTCCATTGAGCACAGAGAAACTTTCCACTTTCAGTAGATGAATGTGAAAACATTGTTCTGGTGTCAAACCAGCACGTACATCATTCTGCACAGTGAGCTCAAACATACAACTGTAGGAACAAAAATATTTTGGAATGGAGTACTCTTGATGTTATAATGAATGAAGAATCATATTAGTTACATCATTGGATTGTAATAATTGATGCATTGTGTTCATCACTTAAACATTGCAATGAACTACTTTATAAATTGCGGTGTAATCCAGTGGTTCCCAACCTGGGGGAACCCTTGGATTGCCAAGGCTTCATGGGGGGTCGCAAGGCCTTCTCGATTTTAAGGCATGTAGGACAACTGAAAAAAAATCTACACAGTAAGCCTCCTCTCATCACCCTGCAATAAAAAGTATGCAGTTATAACAACGAAAGAGCTAATAGAACAAGCCTCAGGGAGAAGAAAACACTGAATTTTAAAAAAAAAAAGAAGCCTATTAAGTATGTATGACTGTATGTATGAATGTTTAAACATAATACAGAGAATTGCATAAAATGTTCCTAAAAACATCAGAACAACTCATCTCTGATGTAACATTCACAGGAAATAATCAAAATTCATTAAAATTGCTACTTTTACACAAACTTCCTGCAGTTATTGCGTTCCCTATTTACAGTTCATCAGTTGTTCTGTACTGTTATTGTTATATACTGAATATCAAATGTAAATAAAATATATAATATTAGTTAGGGGTCATCAGTTTAGTGAATGATAAACAACATTACTGGATTAAATATGCATTAGTTCTATTATATTTTGTATTAATAATCTGAAGCTGTAAAGACACAAATAACTAATGTTCTCAAATAAATGTATATAGTATGAAATGGAAATACTCAAGTAAAATACAAGAACCTCAAAATTGTACTTTAGTAAATTTACTTAGTCCACCAAAAGGAATCCCTTTAGTGTATATACACTGCAGTATAAAGCAGCACATATTAATGTCAGTGAATGTGATACCATACACATACAGCACATTGCTATACATAAACATTAGGAAAACAGGCAAATAAATAATGAACAAAAGAAAAAGATGGATGGAAATGAAGCGTGTATCCACTGACCTTGTTGAACGGTCGGACTCTGACGGCCACTTTGACACAGTCCTTGCTGTGCATGTCTGAAGCTTTAGCCCTCATGGTGCAGCAGGCAGGTATCAGCACTGTCAGACTGTCACACTGAGTGATCAGCTCCCTCAAAGGGGAAAACGCAGGACTGTGTCGAGTTACACGCTGACAGGGACACAATCAGCTCAGTATGGCAGGGACTACGGTGTCCATCCTGTTAGGAAATCCCTCATGAGGTTTAACTGAAAACCTGATGAAAGGAATTTCATTGACTTGCTGAAAGATGGATGCGTCCATAAATAGTTTAAAGTAAAACAGAGACAATGTTAGGTAGCCACAGCTACAGACTAAAATTAAATATCATAGTTGATATTTAATGCAGCATGCCTAATGCAAAGTTAATTTTTAGGATAATCAGCATTTAATATGGGAAGAAATACGCTTTTAGTTTTCTTTTTCCCACCCTGGTGTTTTGTTAGTGGAGATAAGGCTGGTTTCGCTTTCACCTTGTCTACCAGCATAAATTATAGAAGAGACAGAGAGCCCTGGGAAATGGGATAGTCAAATTTATAAAGGGTGGTTACACATGTTTACAGCTACATTTATGTCAACATTTCAGTCCCATAAATTCACCCTAACAGCTAAATTTCTATTAACTATAAGCTGACCTGACATTTAAAAGATTCAAACTGGACGCTGGTGAATTGGATGTCTGATATCTGAGGTACCAACAGGATGAAGTCTCAGCTATTTTGTGAAGGATAATTAGAGGCTTGTAGCTCCTTCCAGTGGTTAACTGCACACCTCAGACAGACAGAAAGAAAAAGGCTTTGTGGTCCAATCACCCCTCAAACTAACAAAAGACTGAATTGAATTGAGACACACTCAACACCAGGAGTAGAGAAATATTCAAGCTTTACCATATTTATCAAAGAGCAGTCATCAAAAATAAGACATTCTACATACATTCATCAGAAAATAGCCCATGTTTCAGGTGGTGGTTGCCATTAATTTAATTAAACAAACCTATTAACATTTCCCAAAAACAATTAACTCCAAACCGCTGTGCAAGACCTTTTTTGTTTCTTTCACACTATACAACATCCCCATGACATACAAAAACAGTCCAAATGTGATGGCAATAGTCTGCCTCTTTAACAAAAAACCCTTCAAAACGACTGATATTTTAAGACTATGGCATAGGCAGTCAGATTAGATGATCAAATGCATTCCAGACACTTAAAACTTCAAAATGAACATAATTCTTTAGGATTTATTTATTAATTTTATTTGGAACATAGCAAAAAACTATATACAAATGTATCAGTAGAAATCTTGTATCTCCACTGGGTTGGTTGCTTTTCTTCTTAAATAGAAAAACAGCAGGCCTCAAAATCTTAAAAGTAAACAAGAACAAAAAACAAAACAAAAACAACCTTAAAATTAAAAAAAAGAATGTAAATAAAACCTTTTCATCAAAGGCAGGTTCAGTTCAGTCTCTCTGGTTTTAATAATGGGAGCTTCTAAAAGCCCATCGATTGCTTTCCCTTGTGCCATTCTGTGCCCAGAGAAATAAGCCGATTATAAGGAGCGTCGCACAATGTCCAAAAAAAAAAAATGGCCACAGATACAATACCAAGTGAAATAGAGTTAGTACGAGCGGGACGTGTGAACTCTAAAAATATAGTCCTCTCTCACACTGCTATCCATCAGTGCGTTTTGTCCCAAAAATATATTTTTATGCCTACATTGCTTTTATTTTATTGTCCTACAGAGAAGTCAATGTACAAACCGCAGCACTGTGAGGCATTTGAGGAAATAGAACCATCATGAGTTTAGGCATACACTTTTATTTGACAGCTCCTGACCGAGTTGGTTAAGACCTGGTGGCTGTCTGAGGTTCAATGGTTAGAACCACCACCAACCTCCTTAGAGTTTCTTCCTCCGTGTGACAGGTTTTGTGAAAACGGTGTCCATTATGCGCTTGCGTCGAAGGTTCATGCTCGGGGGCAGGGCCTCTCCCTCCTTAATTCTCTTCAGCGCCCGTGGGAGCGGATCAGCTGGGCTGGGCAGAGGCGAGAGCAGGTCCACCTCTGCTACGGGAGGCGGCTCCGGAGCGGCTTTGGATCTGAAGGTGGGCAGAGGACACAGTGATTAAGACAAATAAAAGTCATAAAAATAATGGCATTTTTTTAGTAAACAGATTTAAAAATGGAGTCTTGTTTAAAATATTAAGACTATGCAGTTCTTTGTGGTATCCTCCATCTTCGAGGTGCACAAGATGTTGTGCTTAGGGGAGCGGAACCTTACTTGGTTGCTCGTTTGCCTGTTTTTCTGGTCTTAGAAACACCCACTGCTTTCTCGACTTCCAAAGGATCTTCTTCTGAAGCAATTTCATCCTGGGACAAAACAAAAAACAAAACGTTTTATTTCAAATTAAGCTATAATCATTGCAATATGGCTATCCACTTCCATTTAAGAGCAGTGAAAATGTATTTTCGTTGGTGCAGACATACCTTTCAGAAAACAGCTACCTGACTGTATTAGTTTTCATTAAAACAAGGCAATCCCCAGACACTAAAAACATTCACATACATGCTCCATCACACCATCACATAGTCCCTATCACACTAACCATTATACAAACAAATCACAGGCACACATCAACATATAACAATTAGCACATTCATCCAGTACTATAATACTATAAACAAAGTAGTTGCCAGGATAACACTGTAATTTGGTAACTGATTTGCATATAATCAGCTAATATGATACTAGAGTGGTAGAAGTCAAAGCTAGTTTTAATCTTTTACTTTCTATTTTTGAGAAAGAATCAAAAACTCTCCACTTTGTGCAAACAATGAGCTCAACATGTTTAATGAACTGACGTACAGACATTACACTCCACACTAAACATGTGAGACTCATAAGCAGAAGCACTTACAGGAGGAGCAACAGAGGTGTCTTTGACAACTCTTCTCCTGCTGCGAGTGACGGGCGCCGCGGACTCTTCACTCGGCCCTGGAGACTCTGCTCTATTAGCTGACACACAGACACAACACGGGTTAAAAAAACGATCAGGAATGAATGGACGGACATGCAGGTAAATGGACACACGGTTCACCTCTTGTTCTTCTTCTCGAGGGGGAGTAGATGAATGAATGCTCGCCTGGACTAGACTCGTCATCCTCGGGTTCGGGGAACAGGCTGTCTTGTAGCGAGTGATCCTGCTCCACTGACGACTTTGTAGCTCTCTTGCTGGTTCTTACCATCTTTGTAACAACGACGCCTCCTGTAAAACAAAGAGTTTACACATTCATGTCCATACACTAAAACCTCTTTATTTTATAGCAGATGTAGGGTGGAGGTGTGTTGTGCAGCTGTATACGTACCTTCCTGCTTCTCTTCCTCATCCTGAAGTCTCTTGATGAGGGCGTCTGCGACAGGGGTTTCAGAATCCACCTCCAATGGTGAGTCCAGTAAGGGAAGGTCTTCCTCAGGGTGATCCCAGAGTTTGCTTCTGGTTGGTCGAAGGGAGTTGGTGAGACCGGTGTTGCTGTTCAGTTCAGGCTCAAACAGAGCTTCACTTTCATTTATATTTTCCGTCATCAACTCTGCTCTCTTCTTCCTTACACTCTGAGGAAGTGATACAGGAACCAGTTTCACCTGCGAGTGTTAAATGTTTTCAGTGATTGCCAGCGGATGGATAGGGTTGATCAACATGTAGTGTGGAATAATGTATAATGGATGAAAATATGAAACTGAAAATGATTAGAGGTAAAACTAATAACTTTATGTCTAACATATGAGAGAGAAAGGTCACCTGGTGGTTTAACATCAAACATAAATAGCCTCTTAACATCAGATGATGATGATGATCTATGAAGCTTTACATTCTTGATATATTAATATATATATATTAAAAAAATGTAATCCTTACTTGTGGATAAACATTCAGGGTGATCCGGTTGGACTGCCGAGTCGACCTACTGGGGCTGGAAACTGTTTTTTTGCTCTCTTCCTCCTCCAGCAGGGTCTCTGATGATTCAGTCTTAGATTTCCTGGAGTTGCGTTTGGCAGGGGATGCAAACACCTCCTCCTGTTCCTTCTCTTCTTTCAGGATCTCTAATGGCAATGGCACCACCTCACTGCTACTCAGTATCCTCCTGCTGGACCTCCTCGGAGTGCTGCCCTGAGCAGTCCTGCGTTTAGCCGGTGTGGGAGTCTTGGAGCTTGTTTGCTCTGAAGCCTTTGTGTCTGTGCCCTCATCCTCACCCTCTGTGCCTGCAGACACCTCCTCACTGCCACTTTGGCTGGCCTTTGTTGAAGGCGCCTTCTGGGAAGCCCGTCGTCTACCTGGAGAAGAAGCCTTGGAGGTTGATGCAACCGTGGTGTCATTATCCATGGCCTCCTCCTCTTCAACAGGCTGAGTTTTGCGAGTAGTTCTTCGAGGTGTGCTAGCTCGGACTTTGATCTCTTTGTTCTGTTTACCTTTTCTAGGTGTGCGACTAGGTGAGGCAGGGGCCAGAGTGCTTGTTTCTGCCTCCTCCACTTTCCCATCCTCCTCTGCTTCCTCCTGCAGCGGAGAGATAAAGGTAACTGCCCTCGCCCTTGTGGTTCTCCGTGTTGGGGTGGAAGGAGCTTTCTTTTTCCTCTGGGAAGTGGGAGTCTCTGGCACAGGCTGTTCCTCCGGCTGGCTATTTGACACAGGTTCTTTTTGTTTTCTCGGCCTTCCCCTCTTTTTCGTTTCTTTCTCTGTCTTAATTTCTTCCCCGTTATCCTCTTTCGTCTCTGCTGGGACTATGGGGTCCTGCTGCTTCTCCTCCACAACGGTTGCTGTCTCAGCACTGGGGGCGATCTCTGTTTCCATATTAACAGGCCCATTTTCTCCAGGCTCTTCCTGGTCCTCAGCAGGTGTTGGTTTGACCTCCTCCTCCTTTTCCTTCTCCTCCTCCTTTTCCTCCTCCTGTTCCTTCTCTTCCTCCTCCTGTTCCTTCTCCTCCTCCTCCTCCTTTTCCTTCTCCTCCTCCTTTTCCTTCTCCTCCTCCTCCTTTTCCTTCTCCTTCTCCTCCTCCTCCTCCTCCTTTTCCTTCTCCTCCTCTTCCTCCTCCTCCTTTTCCTCTTCTTCCATCTTCTCTTCAGCTGCATCTTTCTCTGCCACAGAGTCTTTGTCATCCACAGCTGCTGGAAGTTCTTCCACTGGAGTTGGCTCACAGACCGAAAGACCAACAGGTTCCTGGTCTTCAGCCAGCATGACTAACTCTGTATCCATCTGTTCTTTAGCATCCTCTGTTTCATGGTTTTCATCAGTGTTTTCGGTTTGTAGGACAGCTTGGTCATCGAGAAGTTCTGTCTCTGTCAGTCCATCTACTTCAGCTCCATCCAAGATGTCCAACTCTTTCTGCTGGTCCTCTTCAGAGGCTCCTTCAGACAGGAGAGGATCCTGATCATCTGTGCCCAAAAGAATATCCTCAGGTTTGGTCACAAGTTCATCACTAGCCTCCACTGCTGGAGAAAGGGTGGGAGGGTCGGAGAATTGCAGATCATTCTCCATAGGTTGCGTGTCTGCATCTTTATCCCCGTCTTCTTCCATATCGAGCATCAGAGAGAAGCCAGTGTGAGTTTCAGACCTTGGGTCATCTGGCACAATAGCTTGCGGAAGCTCAGGAAGACCCAGCTGAGAACTGGCCACCAGGCCGGCCTGTCCCTCCATGAGCTCCAGGGGTACCAGGAGAGTGGTGGATGGCTTGAGCTCCAAGTAAGACGATCCTTGCTCTTCAACCTCATCTGCTTCCATCCCTCCTTCATCTGCACCCAGTCTCACCATGACCACCTCGCCCTCCATGTCCTCCTCTACCATCTGTAATGGAGCCAACATGCAGGTTGCTATCAATCAATTAATAATTTAGTCTATAAAACTTCAGAAAATGCAGAAAATGTCACAATTGTCCAGAACCCAAGGTGACATCTTTAAATCAGATATTCAGTTTATAAAAGAAAAACAAAACAAAACAAGGAAAGTAGCAAATCCTGGCAAATGATCAACTAATCAATTAATTGACCATAACTGATTAATAACTGCAGCTCTTCATTTGTTACCTTCATCTCTGCACCGGGCGTGATAAGAGGGAACTCTGCTGTCTCCTGCTCTGACAGACTTGACAGGAAGTGTGTGTGTTGCACAAAGACTGAACTGGGTTGGAGGGGTGGCAGCCTCCCATTACCCTGGACCTCCTCAATGATCTCAACCTCACTACCAGAGTCCTCCTCCTCCTCCTCCTCCTCTTCTTCATCCTCTACTTGATCAGACTCCTCCTCATCTTCTTCTTCCTCTTCAGACATAGGGCTAGAAAGCTCTTCACTATCGTTTAAACTCACAACAGCTAGGAGATAAAAAGAAAGAAAATGAGTACAATTTCACTGTAACAGTAAGAGCGGCCGTGTTAACGTGCATTTGTGGACAATCTTCCTTACAGTGGGAGTCTGTGCCAGTTGGCTCGGAGGACGTCACAGAGGCAATAGATTTCTGGCTGGTGAACACCGGGGGAGGTTCAACAGCTGCCGGCTCCTCCTCTTCAACCTCACCTAATGATTCACTGGGAGAATTACATAATTTTAACTTGTGAAAAACAAAATAAACAGATAAGCAGCTGGTAGGAAACACAGGGTTACACAAAATCCCCATATTTGTGTGATATGGTATAATGTAGACTCACTGACAAGGTCTGTGACCTACAAGGTTTGTATTAAATTCTAACATAAATGTTTTAATCTAAGTGAAAGTATTAAAGTAATTATTGTTCCTTGGGTGCATTCAAGTTTAAAAAGACCTACAAACCAAAACAAGAACTAGGTTCTCCTCCTGGCTTCATCAAAAGGTTCTTGGGTTACTCAAAAAACTCTGATTATTTCTATCTGATATACACTTCACAGTGAGAGTTTTAAGGGTTTTTAATTGAACAATGTGGTGTCACAGTAAAGACATTTCTTTCTTCTTTTAGTAAACAGGGCGCATACCTGTTGAAGGATGTCTGGGTCTGTGATGCGTTGTGGATTCCTGAGCGGGTGAGCGGAGGAGACAGATCACCGCCAAACAGATGTCTCTGCACAAACTCTGTCAGATCTGTCAGACAATACAGAAGAATCATCTACTGTAAGTATGAAGTCAATCATTAGAACCTTGTTATGGCTGCGTAATATAATGTTTCAACCTACAATGATAAGAGTCAGAAAAAGAAATGTGTATTCAGAGAATCATAAGACATACAAGAAAGACAGAGATAAATAAGCTATATACAATAATTATTTGTTAGTTACTACTTGACAAGCAAAACCAAACTGCTAGCCTAATTATGCTATGATTACTAGATTTTATGTAGATGTTATCGTTATTCTCAACTCATACTGATTTTATATAGCGACTTGAGCGATCAAATGGAAGTAGATTCCTTTTGCTTTGGCAGGACCCAAAATTAAGATGGAGACAATGCAACGACAATATCTTAAAGTTTTACAGTATAAATGCATCATTTAAGGTTCTACCTGTTGATTGCTCCAGCTCCTCTTCTGGTTCATGCGTGGGTTCAGTGGCACCAGATGGTTTCAGACACTCAATGAACTCAGTGGATTCAGTGGCCTCTGACTGGATGTCCTGTCCCGTAGCCTTCACTGGTTGATCCTGAGATTCGACCTCAATGCCAGAGTTGGCGCTCTCAGTTACCTGGTTACAAACTAGTCGCATACAAAATGTGTCAAGCAATGGTTTAAAGAAGTGTGGCAAAACACAATTTTTAACATTATTTCCGAAAATCTAAATATCAGAGGATAGGACATGTTTTGTGTGAAGCAACGCAACTCTTATAAATAATATGAAGTCATAGAGAAACAAATAGAGCAAATTCTGCAAATGAATTACCTTGATTGTGACTAAACGTCTCCTCTTGGTCAAGAGTTGCAGCATCTTCTTGTTTGGTACTTGACTCAGCGTCCTGTTTTTCCTCCTTTTCAGACTGAACCTCTTCTTCGTTTTCAGCCTCCTGTTCTGACTGAACCTCTTCTTCGATTTTATCCTCCTGTTCTGACTGAAACTCTTCCTCGGTTTTAGCCCCCTGTTCTGACTGAACTTCTTCCTCTGTTTTATCTTCTTGTTCAAGACCAATCTCCATCACGTCCTCAAATATTTCATCCTCTTTCGCCTCCTCTTCTTCCCTTTCTAGATCCTCTGATGTCAGGAGAGGAGTCTGCTCAATGATGGATGAGGGTTTTTCTTCTGGTTCCCCTTTTTCAGTTAGGCCTTTGATGTTTATCGTCACTACCTCGTCTTTTTTCTCTGGATCTGTATGCTCTTCTTCCTGCTCTTCTGAAAGAGGTGCATCGTAGTACTCTAGAGTGGTGTCTGTTGAACGCACAGGCGTCTGGCTGGAATCGAAGCTCAGGCTAAGTTGTGCTTGCGTTGCATCTGATGGTCTGCTGTCTGCAGCATCTTTGTGGATGGAGGATGACTCGCTCTCAAAGCATCTCAGTTGTGGCGAGGGTACACCACCTTCTGGAGGCATGAATTTTACGTGAGATTGTTCTCCTTCCTCATCTCCCTCCTCTTCCTCTTCCTCTTCAGCTGGCTGCGAGGACCAGGTCTCACGCGTAGCCTTGGGTAGTGTGGAGCCTCTGGCCAGCAAGCTAATCTCACTTTCTGCTGCCATCTAGAGAAAAGCACAGTTCCAAAGAAGATTGGAAGACACATTTTATTATAAAGACAAAATCTAACCTACCAGCTAAACAAGGAAGATAACTGATGGGTCAGAGGTGCAGATACAGACCACTAACCAAAAATAAGCAGTTTAAAAGCAATGTAATAACTAGTTAGTTAATCAGTGGATTATTGTAACTTGTACTCCTAATATGAATAAGAAGATTTTTTTTAAAAAGGTACCATGTTTAAAATAACTTTTAGAAACCAATTATTGGCCAGAAGAGAGTGTTTTGTTTGTTTCTTTGTGCATTTTTACAGAGTCAATACACCACTCCTATCTTTGTCTTACCCCATTGGTCCATCGGATGCCCTTCTCTGGTTCCGGAGATTCTGCCTCTTCGATAAAAGTGATTCTACTTTCTTTGCTGCGGAGTGGGGGGGTGATGGATCGTCCTGGAGAAGCAGAAGGGGTGGCGACCGGAGTGGGCCTAAGGCTGCTGCGCAGGATTGACTGAGGAGTGAAGGCTGAGAACACAGGGCCAGAAGCAGCCAAAGCCCGAGCTCGCTGAGAGAGCAAATCAGGTAAAGTGTAAGTGGAAAAAAAAACCCTGAAATACTGCAAACTCATTTATTAAGAAAATAAACCATATAAACAACATTTGACTTATTTGGATGTCCTGACTAAGTGCTGATGAAATTTAATTAACTTTATTTCAAAACCTCACCTTGACAACTTGCGGTGTTTGCAGCAGACTGAGTTCAGGGGCCTTGCTGATGCTCTTTGGAGAAACCCAGGAGCTGGGAGGTCTGGGAGGGCTGAGGAGAGTGCGAGGAGTCTGACAGGAGGGGTGAACGACGAAGTCCATCAGCCTGCGTCACATAGAAGACGAAGAAGGAACGCAAAGAATTAAAGGTGCTGTCTTAACAAAACTCTGCTGTGCATGCATGTGGAATATAAATATTAACATTCAAGTGTTTGTTGAAAGTACAATATACTACTAATAACTAAGTTTCTTACAGTGAGGTCTCTCAAAATATAATAGTATATCAGTTCTGTGGAAATTTGACTTATACCCTTTAAGAGGGTATTACTAAATATTATTAATTAAAAAACACTTACTTAATTAGTTAATTGTCATATCTTTATGACATTAAGATCAAACTACTTGTATTCTAAAGTCTGCTTATGGCAAAGGCTCGCATGAGATTACCTTGACTTTCGTTTGGAGGTCATGGTGATAGGAGTTCCCAAGAAGGGGTCAGGAAGGGCTAAAGAGGGCTTGGGGCTCTGAACATCAGCTACCCTGGGGCTGGCAAAAACAAATCGACAAAGGGTTAGAAAATAATCATATAAAACAAAAGGATAATTACCTCTAAGGATCAAATTGAAGTTATTTTCTGCTCACCTCTTGACTGGGGTGGACTGTGGTGAAGCTCCTTTGCCTAACCAAACCTCCTCGATCTTGGTCAGAACATTGTTTATGAAGCCGGCCCTCGACATCACCTTCTCATTGGTAGAGCGTTTGGTGATGGTTGACAGTGGCTGCGGCCGAGAAACTGAAGCACAGTGTGTAAACGTGTTATTTATATTCAATCAACAGTGTTTTTTTAAGCCGTTGAAAAACACAGACCCTGTGTTCGTTTGTTGTTTGCAACTACAGGGTTTGTTTTTTAACAGTGTATATGATATGGAGCCATATTTTGGAACATACTGAGCAAGTGATTGTTCAAGTGTGATTTGAGAAGTTTCTATTAACACTCTCATACTTTTTCCTGCTGTGAGAATATTGGGGTAATCCGTTATAGATATGAATCCCTCCTTACCTTCTCTGTGGATGGCGTAGGTATGCTGGTAGGGCTTGGCTTTTTCCATCGCCAGTTTCCTCTGGACTCTGGGCAAAACTTTGCCATACTGATCCAATATAGAGTTCCTGGTGTTGGATCGTTCTTTAAGTTTTGGGTCTCGCTCATTCTAGCAATAAAGACATAAGAGACTGCGGTTATAAATCTTGTGGGATTTAAGTATCTTCGCTCAATAAAAAGGCATAGTGATGGACTTTTCATAGCTGGATGTTGTGATTTAAAGCTTAGATGTCTAAATTGATAACAATTTATTAGTATGTCTGATTCTGAATTCTTTAATAAATATCACACACTACATATCAAGATAAAACTGTGATAATTAGCGTAACAGTTTACATGCGTGTGTCAGACATACCACCAGGTTCATTTTGAGGCTGTGGTTGAGCTGCAGGGCAGGAATGTAGTTGGCCTGCTGAAGGTAATGAACCATCAGCAGTTCTCTGTTTTGGAGACCCCCTGTACCCTGGAGGAACTTCTCCAAACATTCCTGAAACGCAAACCCAAGAGCCTCGAGTTTTAGGCACTGACTTTATAATCCCAAAACACAGAAAGTTTAATCTACAAGCAGAATAATGAGGGTTAGGGTTTAAACCAATGTAACCATGCAGTCACTCATCTCTCTCCTACCTGCTCAGTGAGTCCCAGGGGCAATTTGAGCAGCTCCTTGATGAGGCCCAGCTCCTGGCAGCTCTCATACAGGAAGCCCAGAAGCTCACCCATGTTGAGGCGATTAGAGTGCTGCCGAACTAAGGACCACGCCTCTATGAGACACCTGGAAGAAGGGCACACCATTAACTATTTAAAAGGCTGCCATCGGATTGCCATCAGATTGCCATCATGCTTGTTTCCTAAAACAAAAAGCCACTTTTCTTGTCCACTTTTCACAGCTGCAAACCTTACCTATTGTGTAGCAGTACAGACAGGCAGAGTTTGGCCTGGGAGGTGGAGGAAATTGGGGGCTTTGTAACGTGGAAGTATCGTAGTGCCACTGAGTGTTGGCCCTGGCACATCAGTGCTTGCAGGACACGCTCATGCTGCCACTCAAACTGACACTGAGATGCAGCTGGATGCAGGAGCAGCTCAAATGAACTCTGATCAGGACAACAGACAAAGGATGGTGATGATGGACAAAGGAAGAAGAGTTACAAGAGGATGTAATAGCTGTATTTAGTATCAATGTTTATAAGGTAAATGTTTTAAATATGCAAATACTGCTGCCCCATTTCCCTTTAAATACAACAGAGCTATTTTGCCTCACACAACCTCTTTGTATTAAAATTCAGGGAAATATAAAGTCAGTCAGATGTATGCATACCTGGTGGTCATGATGGTCCAGTAGCCAGAGGCCTTGTACTAGTTTCACAAGTCCAATTGGGATGGCAAAGGCTGTGGGGAAAGACTCCACTGATGCTCCCTCCTTATTGGGGAAGGAGTACATGACATCCAGCAACAGGTAAATCACCTGGGACAACAGGTCAAGGCTCATACATGTAGTCTTATTTTAGTATTTAGTATGTACTCACATACAAGGAATTTGCTTTGGTAAATTGGTGCATAACAATAAACAGAAAAATATAAAAGCTAAAAACAGACAATAAGGAGAGAAAATGTGTACAATATTACTGTAATTTAAATAAACAATTTGTAACAATAAGAAAGTCACATTTACAACTGTGACAGAGGTTACTAGCTTGTAAATTACCCAACATTAAACACTACAACTGTATATCCACAGCCACAAAAACTACTTTAAGCAAATAAACAGCTGAAAAAGCAATCCTTGAATTCACAAATAAATACTGGAGCTGACCATGGCTGACGTGAACATGACTTTGCATTTGGCCATTATTACTCAAAGGATACAATTGCATGTTTGGCAGCTTCATCGATGTTGTCCAGCAGATAAATGTCCAACAAGGCCTGTGGATCAATAAAATTAATTATTTACACGTTGTAAGAACCACAGGTGCATAATCTATTTGATATAAATTAGATAGTAAAAAATCAATTAAATTAAAAATAAAGTTTAATGCTTACATGCAATGTAGGTGGTGGGTATTGCCCTGTCCCACCGTCGTCCCTTTTCCACAGGTTGGTCAAGCGTTCACCACACTGCCTGACCAAACCGTCAATCATCAGGCAGTCTGCACACCACTTGCCCCTGAGAATGTCAGCATTAGATCGGACATGTCATTTTAACATCTTATTGGCTCTACTATTGCTCAAGAAGTAAAGATACTGGTTAGCTGAAGTCCAGAATTTGTTATATGTGTAAGATTTTTCAAGCAAAAACTACTCACTTAGCCAGCCTGGTGAGCTCCTCTCTGCGTATTGTATAATAGTTGCTGATGACTGAGTGAGTGTAGAATGGCCTGGAGATCTGGAGAGCGTCATTGTCTGGTGAGGAGAGAAAGAGAAAATAAAACTGAATACAGTGATATTCAGAAGTTTGACAACCCCTTAACAAACTGTATGCTCCAATAATATTTACACACTTGAACTACACACATTTCTGCAGATTTTAATATGCGTTTACAATTTTGCTACATTGCACAACGCTTATAGTTTAAGAATATCTCTAACCCGAGTGTTATTCCACCTGCTTACAAATTGTTCACTCACTGACACTGAGTAATTGTGTGGTTTGAAATTGCTGGTAAGGTTTCCCAGATCACGTTTATGCCAGCAACACTTTACCTGATCCTTCAGGCAGCAGACCGGTACGACAGAACCAGAGCACCACCTGAGCGTACTTGGAAATCAGACTGGACACCATGTTCTTGTTCATCAGACCCACCAGGCCTAAACAATGAAAAATATAACCATAACTTATCAATAACTATGAATGACACAAAATGACAGATTGTCAGTTGCTTGATCAAATGAAAGTTTATTTAACCATAAAGCTATAAGATGCTAAATATCATCATTTTACTGACATCAACAGACATAAAAAGAGTGTTTGATTTTAGTTTAGCACAAATTTGAATTAATATTACAGTGTGTCTGTGTGTTGGCTGAATCTATTTCCACTGACATCATAGGGAAAAATAACACTTGCACATGTGATTGTATCTGTGTGGATATTGCACCTTTTTGTGTGAGCTCCTGAGCTTCATTGAGCAGACAGTGGAAGATGGTACTGAGGTTACTGAGCAGCCTCTGGCTGTGCTGTAGCAGCTGCATGGTCTGAGGATCTGTAAAGTTGGATGAGCTGTCAAACAGCGGAGCACCTGGACACACAAAGGAGGAAGGAGGAACACATAAATAAGAAATAAATGTATTAATGGAAACAAACTTGTAAACCGAATTTATATCACTTAAATAATGAATAATTTACAATGTCAACAAATGGAGGAGACAAACATTTCCTATTGTTGGTAAGCTTAAATAATACTGTAATGTAAAAGTCTGACTTATCAGCCTGAAGAATTAATAGAATTAATAGAATTACCTTGCCAACAGGTCATGCAAATATATCTGATCTAATCCATTTAAATGTATCACTGGGTAGCATTAAACTTCTGGCCTGTCTAAACAATGTTCTATATAACTCAGAATGTCTTTCAATTAAAAAAAAATAAAAATAAAATACATACAGATGCCATCCAGTTCCTCCTTGGTCTGGACTACTTTGTTCCAGGCCCAATCCAGGATGTAGCGCAGGTTCAGTGCAGAACCTGGTTGTTCTGTTGAAGACAATTACAAGCATTAGTGATGACTGCGGGGCTGGTGGTATGTTTGTAAAGGAGCTTTTAAGCTTTTAAGTACTACTTCTGCGAGATGAAGCCACGTCTTTATCACCTACTTGCTGTTATGGGTAAAATGGGTTTAGGCGAGCAGTTAGAGAAACAATCTGACAGATACTCCGAATAGGACTCCTCACCTTCTGCAGTCCACTGCTTGATGCAGCCTGTGATCAGTCCCAAGGAGCTGGTCTCCACTGCTGTGGACAAGATGGCATCCAGTTGCTCCTCCTAAAAGCCCCCATCAAGTTACATGTATAAATTACTATAAGAAATTACAACATTTGATTTAATTCTGTATATTGTTTTGTATCATTAGAAGATTAGATTTTCTTAAATGTGAAGTAAAAGAGGGAGAAGAAAAGCATGAATAACGGTGGCTTTCTGGGTCTGTGCGAACAAGTATGTATGTGTACCTGAGAGAGGCTGGAGGCTTGGGTGTCAGCCAGGCGAGATGAGAGTAGACCGGACATGAGGCAGCGGGAGTAGCTGGTGGAGATGATGTCACTGGAACAAGGAGCAGCTTTCTTCAAAAAGCTCAGGGTCTGGTGTTAATGACAATCACAATGGCGAGGTGTTGATAAAAGAAGCCTACTATCCATTCAAACCATATTCACATATTTAAATCCTGTCTACATGGTAAATATTGTGTAGCCGTAGTGATAAACATCACATCTTATGCTCGTTCCAACACAAGAATACACAATGAAAAGGCTAATTATTACAGAAGAAAACCCATGTACTAAAATACAAACAGTTTGAAGTCTGTCTTTGCATTTACATAGTCACATTTTCACTTTTAAAATCTGAATTTGGACTTGCCAATAAATGAATGGTGAGGTAAACATTTGTATCACAGTAAAATTAACACAGGGAACTTGCCTCTTTCTGATACCCAGAGCATGTTAAGTGCACAATTCCAGAGTTGAGCAAGCAGGTAGCATCTGTAACATGAAAGGAAAAAAGTCATTTTCAAAAAATCAAAATCAAAATCAATTTTATTAGTAAAATGATATTTCAACTACAAACTAGGGGCATGTCTGCACAAGCAAACTCATGAGCAATATAAACAGGCAACAGCAATAAACAAGCATGGACCCTGGCAAAAATTAAAACAGATAATTCAAGCCTACATTGCATCACATGTCTCTAAAGAATCTCACATTTAGACAATTTTATATATATAGTGTCTACACCTACCAAAGTTATAGGTGGTGGGGTTAAAGTACTGTTCCGGTGGGGGGCAGGTGAAGGGCAGGCCCCTGCTCAGGCTGCGGTCATGCACCACCACATCCAGGAGGGGGTGTGAAGACACCATCTGCACCACTGGGTCCAGAGACCAAACTGCCAGGTAGGGACAATTCTGCAAAGACTCCCCCGTTCTGACAACAAACAAGTGAAAGGCAGTGTCAGATTGAATCAAGCAATCATTACAACAATGCCAGGAAAAGAGGACACAGTGACTACTAAAATGGTTTCAGCAGTACTCAAAATATCTACTTTCTGTTTCTCTTTTGTTTTTGAAATACATTGTCAATCAGGTGGTCAGCCACAGAGAAGTTCCATTTTATTTTTCATACACCTACATGGGAATCTTTATATTATTATAATATCTAGGTTTCCTCTCTGTCACAAACCAAACATTTACAGTATACTACATGTTGTGCATGTACAGCTGTTCTAATTGCGTTCCCTTGTCTGATGTATTCCTTTAGTAATACATACATTTACAACGTGTAATTCATTTTACAGTCTGTAATGCTTATTTATTCTCTATGAAATACTGAAATGGTTCAAAAAGTTAAATTATTAAAAATGATTAGCAAAATCAGTCTCCACTATACCTTAAAGAGTCTGGCATTTGTGCGTGGTACCAACGGTTGATGTCAAAAACCCCAATGAAAGTAGATGGAGTTCCCTGACCATAGGCCTTCACTTGCCAGCTGAAGATAGACACACTGGTGTCTGGAGATGCAACTGAAAAGGAGAAGTATAGGTAAAGTGAGACGACAAAGGCAGGTAAGAAATAAGAGAGACAAAGAGCAGGACTGTTCTCTATTATGCAATAGAAGCAGTTTTATTCACAACACACAATG